CCACTACTCATTCAAATCCATCTACACAGGTCCTGCCCATTGAGCCCACAACAAGGTCTTATGCCGCTGTTGTGAGGAAAGCGTGGTCTCAGTTCCTATTTTCAAAAGCCCAAATACAAGTGGTGCCAAGACTAGGCCTAAGCCTGTCGAGAAACCAAAACCTAAGCTATCATCTCAGTCTCAAATGAAGCTAGTTCTCGACAGACTATCCGAGCTTGAGAAAGTGGTCAAGGAAAATCCGTCCCTTAGCAAGCTGCAAGTTCCTGAGCGCACCCAGCCATCTCGCGACCGTTGTCTCATCATCATGAACGCAGTGGAATCGGGAAAAGCAATTTCTGCAAAAGGAATACTAGATGACCAAACACTGCTCGAGCGGTTGTTCTTGTTGCTATTTGATGAAGGCGGACAAGGGAACAATATTGTATCTGCCCTTCGTCTTGTTAAAAATCAAGAAGATACCTCGAGAACTCGCCCCCTTAAAATCGTTTGCCGGGATGCGGAGGAATGCCGACGCATCCTGCGAAGGACCTCGCGTCTCAAAGGTGAGCCATTCTACGTACTTCGTGACCTCTCTCCGGAGGATCGAGTCAAAATGAAAAAGGCTGTAGAAGAACTACGTGCTAGACGGGGAAGTGGTGAAACAGACCTCCATATTGTGGATTTTCGAGTAGTTCGGAGGACTCCGAAAACCCGTTGGAGGCCCATTCTACTCACCCCCGGACAGTAAACTATAAGAACGGACTGCGCGTGTTATCCGCTAATGTGCGAAGTCTAAGGAATAAGCTAGACGAGATCCATTTGCTTGCCTCAGAGACTCATCCAGACCTGATGGCCTTCACTGAAACGTGGTTATTCTCAGAAATCACAGACTCAGAAGTGTCTATTCCTGGATATCACCTCACCAGGTCCGATCGCCACGGCGGAAGGTCTGGTGGGGGCGTAATGCTTTATTGGAAGGCGGAGCTCAAAGCGCATGTGGTTGAAGCTATTAGTGACCATGATAACAATTTTGAAGCCCTCTGGTGCCGTGTGCATGACGGATATAGATCTCTCTTGATTGGTGTCGTCTACAGGGCGCCATCAAGCTCCGGGGCTAGTTTGTTGGACTCGATCAGGGCGCACGGCGGAGGCAAGGACTGTCTTATCGTGGGTGATTTCAATGCACCAGATATCGATTGGAATTTCCTTCTTTGTAATCGCCCATCCGACCATTTCGATGCCGCCTTACTCGAAACCGTCCTGGATTGCAACCTTTTTCAACATGTCATGACGCCAACTCGTATTTTCCCAGATCAGACACCGCGCATCCTAGACCTTGTGCTTTCCTCAGCGCAATCAGACATCACAAACCTAGCTGTTATCGAGCCCATTGGCAGAAGTGATCACTGTGCTGTTTCTTTCAGTGTACTCGTCGCTTCGCTGTCCACAGCCAGTGCGCCGACCGGCGGAATTTCTGGCGTGTAGATGCACTTCGTTTGAAAACGGCGGCAAGCGTTGTGGATTGGAGTATCCCTGGGCATCTCAGTCTCGATGATGCATGGAATCTTTTGTACTCCAAGTTGATGTCGCTCATCGAACAGATCGTCCCTGCCTCCAAGAGAAGACCGTTTTCTAAAGGCCCGCCTTGGATAGATCGCCAATTAAGATCCCTTATGAACAAAAGGCGTAAACTGTGGAACCGTTTTAAACTAACACGATCAGACCTCGATTACTCTCGCTATAAAACAATCAGGAATGCTTGTACTTTTCAGAAACGGGAGAAACGTCAACTCTACGAACTGTCTTTAGCTACTCTCTCCCGGACCACGCCCAAAGCGCTTTTCTCTTACATCAAGCGTAGTACTAGAGCCGGCAGTGGCATCCCTGCCTTGTGTTCCCGCGAGCATGCTGCTTTAGTTCACGAAGACACACAAAAAGCCAGTCTTTTAGTTAAACAATATTCTTCTGTGTATTCAACTGAAACGTCTCCTCCTGACAGCTTCTTGTCATTTCTTCCTTCTTTGCTAGAGCACTTGGATATTAACGCTGATTTTGTACTGAAACTGTTTCTTAATTTAAACCCGTATTCTTCGCCTGGCCTTGATGGCCTACATCCATTGTTCCTTAAAACTGTAGCTGAGCACATCACCGCACCTATCTGTCAGATATTCCGTCTGTCTTTTGATACTGGACGTCTTCCGGCTGCCTGGAAATCGGGCATCATCAAGCCTATTTATAAAGGAGGAAACCGACAAGATCCAGCGAATTATCGTCCTATTTGTTTGACATCTGTAGTCTGCAAAATTATGGAACGGACAATAAAAGACCCGCTATGCCTGCATCTCGCAAAGTTAGAATACAACTTTTCTGCCCGGCATGGATTTCGAAGCGCTCGCTCAGACATTACAAACTTGCTAGTGGTAAGGGAGAAATGGGTGAGATCACTAGATGTTGACAGACAATTGGATCTTGTGTTGGTTGATTTTAGCAAGGCCTTTCACAAGGTTCCGCATAAGCGGCTTCTTTTCATACTCCGCGGACTTGGCGTTGCTGGGAATTTTCTCACCTGGATTTCCGATTTCCTGTACGGTCGCTCTGCGCAGGTAAGGGTGAATGATGCACTTTCTGATCCTTTTCCTATGACCAGTGGTGTCCCACAGGGTTCTGTCCTTGGCCCTGTCCTCTTCAATGTCTTTATTAACGACCTCCCGTTCGAGCTGCAGACGGAATGTTTGATTTATGCCGATGACCTGAAACCTTGGATTGAAGTATCCAGTCTGGAGGATGCAGACAGGCTCCAAGAAACACTCAACAGGCTCCACGACTGGTCGGTAAAATGGCAGTTACCAATCAACCGGGATAAATGTTCCGTACTCCCGATTGGTAGTCGTGAACCACTCGGGGTGTATCATATTGGAGGTTTCCTGCTGAGAAATGTTGCCCAAGAAAGGGACCTCGGAGTAATTGTGTCTCCTTACCTCAAAACAACTGAGGACACCCGGAAAAGAGTCGCGGCTGCTTACAGGATGTTTCATGCCTTACGAAGAGCATTCTCCCGCCTTACTCCAGAACTCTTCAGACTCCTGTTTGCCTCACATGTGCGTCCGATTCTCGAGTACGGCTTGCCAGCTGCCCAGCCTCTCACGAAGACGGAATGCGATATGATTGAGAAGGTCCAGCGCCGTGGATCTAAATATGTGCCAGAACTGCGGTGCCTATCTTATCCTCTCCGCCTCCAGCGATTACGTCTTTTCTCTCTGGATTACCGTCGTCGTCGCGGCGACTTGATCTACACTCGACGTATCCTAAGAGGAGAACTTGGAAGCGAATTGCAGCAGTTCTTTCATCTGAACACTGAAAGTTCCACACGTGGTCACGGATGGAAATTGTTCAAACCGAGGAGACTCCATGTGCGGTCGAATCTAGCTCTATCCACGCGCGTGGTTAATGACTGGAATCGCTTGCCGGAGCTCGTCGTTGATGCGCAGTCCGAGGAAAGTTTCAAGAAATTGTTGGATTCCCACTTGATAACTGTGCCCGGATATTGCTTCACAACCTAGCTTTAATGGTTCATTGTGGAACCCTATTTTCACTATGACCCCAGCAATGTTCGCAATGACTGGGAAGCGACGGAGCTGATAAAGGACTCTCCTTCTGCTCTCTACCATACAATGATACAATGATACAATGATACCCGAAGTGCTTAATTCGTAGTGCAGTGGAAATGAAGGCAGCCCTACTAACCTCCCTATTGCCATCTGAAAGCCGGGAGGTACCAGGTACTCCTTTTACCATCTGAAACGACAATACGTTAACCCCGGTATCAGATCTCTCAGAGCATGATTCCTCACGCGATCTCGACTGTAACCGCTTTCGCCCCTTTTTCTATTCCCATAACCTAAGCCGGTAGCAATTAACAGAATAGGAAGGACTATTTTATTGAATTTCCTTTATTTACACCAGACCTTTAAGAAGCCGAGCACTCGGAGCGAACAATTCCTGCCTCCACGTTATTATTCCTTAATATCGTTTACGCTGACTCAGTCACATTGCACATGCTAACTCATCGCCTTCTTCGCCAGGAGTCATTTCCACTTTCTGGGTGTGGATGGGGAGTGCTGCGGTGTGCAACTGATGATGCGGCGAATGGGACCTGAAGAATCCTACCTCATATCTAGCGTCAGTTAGATCTGTCCATCTCCCAGGTTGGAGAGCACGTGATGCTGACTCCCAGTGGTTAGAAGTCTTGGAGGTTAGGCTCGCAGTAGAAATCAGTGACGTCAATCTTTACCATATTTTTTCACACAAACTCAAGTGACGTGTGAAACCTAGAAAATCAACCTTTTGCCCTTTTGTTATCGTTTTCGTCCCTTTGTTGAACAATATTTTCCCTTCCCACCATGTTTCTTTTCACACGATGGTCTATTTTCAGACTCATGAATGCTTATCCATATATTGCAAGCTTTCCTGACGGGTCTTGCCCTTGTGCTATTATTTTATCATGTTCACTTTTTCATTTCTCTCTTTTGAACAAGTGTTTTACAGTTGCAGTGATGTAAGTTTATGTGCTGTCACCCAGTCTTGACTGATCCCGGTAACGTGGTTTATACACACTTCTCCACTATCCTCAATCTCTGACCAAATGCCGTGAGCTTGCTTTATGATATTGGCGGTACTCCCCATATCCGTTCAAACTCTAAGCCTGCCCGCACCGGCCAAAAGTCACAGCTGTAGAGCGTTGTTATCTGCCTGTACACGCCAATGTTTGAAGTCACCTAATTTTGTAGAAATTAGGATATTTCAAGGACCTGAGTCAAGCTATTTCATCTTTGTATCGTGGTCATCTGGTTGCCAGTTTGCGTTTTAGATCTTTTTAGCGGTTCTTATTTTTGTGTCATCGGAATTTGTATATGATGCACACTGAATGGGTCAGAATCCATTTCTCGTAAAGATAGTTGGTATTTTGGTATGACTTTCATTCGACAATGTTCTCCCTTCAGTACAATTAACATATTTTTTTAGGACTGAACGGCGATGACTTGCAAGGTTGACACATCGTCTAATGTAACTATATCTGAAGAAGAGGCCGCTCTGTATGATAGGCAGATTCGTCTCTGGGGAGTGGAAGCCCAGAACCGTCTCAAGTGTTCAAGAATTGTACTCCTCGGCATGAATGCGCTTTCTTCTGAAGTTGCGAAAAATTTGGTTTTGGCTGGCGTTGCCAGTCTTTTTATTATTGACGATGACATCGTCTCGGAAGAGGATGTTTCATCCAATTTTCTTATATGCTCGGACTCAGTTGGAGAGATCGTGAGTTATCCATCTACATAATCCGACTATAGTAGAAATCAGCTGCTTCTGTCCAGCGATTGCAGTCTCTCAATCCGATGGTCAAAGTTCAAGCGATAACATCGGTCTCTTATAATGAAACTATCTCCAACTCGCAGGACTACGATGTCGTTATTTTAGCATCTAGTCCGTTGAAAGACGATATAGTTCGGTGGGAGAGTGTGGCCGTCACTCTAGCTAGGGTTTCAAAGGAATCATCGAGTCCTCTTATTATATTCCTTTCGAGTATACACTTGTTCGGTGTAGTCTTTATTGACTTATCACTGCACCACTTCATAGCGTGAGTTTCCCGCTTCTCTTGTTCTTGTTTCCCTTTGCTTAATAGTTTTGATCATAGTATACTGGGATTTCATGTTTTCCCACTCTAAGATCTGGATGGGTGAATGACGCATTAATTGAATAAAGCACTACGAACGACATAAACCCAATACACTTCACTTACCTAACGAATGAAAGGCATTGACTGAAATGTAAAAGTTGTCATGATGCGGGTGCATAAAAACGCGTTGATATGACAGTAGCTACTTCAGTGTTCCCATGTGTCAAGCACTGACAGTACTGAGCATACGTGGCTCTCGTTCTTTTAACCTAATTTAAGGTCAGACCTCGTCTAATCAAGTATCACCAGTGTCAGCTGGTTCTATGAACAACTAATCCCGATCATTTGGATTTGAACCACCATTAGAGGTTTGGTCCGCGCTATACCCGACAACTCGTGGCCGCATCTGAAACACATTGCAATGCGACTGACCCATCGCAACATAATGTGCTCTGCAGACAACAGTCTATGGTCGCTAGATTTCGATTACAGCCTAGAACTTATAATTTTTGATTGCTTCCGTGTTTAGAATCCTGTTGCTGCTTCTTTTTCAACCGACTATAAATTGAACTCTGGTTCTATTTAAGTACCGATTTCCACCACAGAACTGGAATACCTTTGTTCATTTGGTCTGCTTTGGTATTTCGCGCCCTATGCTCACTTTCATTCTTTTTCGACAGTTGATGCTGCTTTCAGCAGTTGGTCAGATTGGGGTTATCCGGGTCGCTTTTCGATGGGTGAAACTTGCTGTCATATGACGGCTTCATGACGCTGTGTCTGAGTTTTTGCAGTTTCATCTGTGCGGTTAGGATTGACTACACTCCACAGTGCTACTGAGCTTGGTATTTTATGTGGTAATTTGGTCTGTTCACTGTACTTAAATGTACCAGATGTAATTTTTAACTACCTTATGGGCCTCCTCATTATGTCATTAGACCACATTGATGCTTCGTTGCCTCACGATCACCACCAGTAGCACGAGGACTTCTTAGGTCACTGGGTCACTCGCACCTACGCGGATTCGAACCGGTGACCTATGCGTTGTAAGGCAAACGCCTCCTTTATCGGCCACCGGCCGGTGTCATATCTTCCCGGGTGTCATTCGCATTAACGTCTGCACCATTATCCAAGTTTCGTACGCATTCATACAATCTTAGTACCGTCTGTTAACCGTGCCAAGAGAGCGATAGCCGTCTTTTTCATGCTTCTGAATAATTACCTGGAATATGCCTTACACTGATGTAGAATAGCTACACAATGATTGACTTCACTCAAACTCTGTCTCTTCTTATCTTACCTCACTCAAACTGCATACGATTTTTGGCATGAGTCGTGTTGAATCGCATATTTCTTGGCACCTTGCATATGTCTCCATACCCAGTTATCGCTTGGTTTTGGCTCAGTGAGTCGTAAATGCATTCCATCGCACTGCCATTGTTTTATACTCTGCAGTGAAGAAGTTGTTCTGAAAAAGCGGCCTTCAGGCACACCGGGATTCGACTCAAAAAGTGCAGACAGAACAGAAACCGTACTTGTGAAAAAGGTACTACCACGTTGGTTTTGTGCTAGTGTTTTTATGTTTCTCATGTCGTTTTTCACCACGGGTCCATACTGTAATCGCTCACGTTGGCCGGACGTGGTCACTTTTCGCTCGTTCATGCATTGAGATCAGACTTGATCTTAACGAGGCTTGATTCCTTGCGTATCTCCTTGTGCCAGCTTCATCTTCTCTATTGAACTTCGATCCCACAGCTTTCAGAATATTTTCACGATACCAGCGAAGATCCTCGGAGACACCTCTCTATTTAATACTCGTTTCCATTACCTCGCATTAATCAGGCCCGATAATTGTGACCCCATTGTTTGCGTTGGCTCTGTATTTCGTGAATACAGTCAGTTCAAAC